GCTCTTCAACCTGACGAAACCGACGACGAAGGTGAAGCGGAAATCAGAGTACGACACCAAAAAATCGTAGCAGGCGTTAGGGTTTGTCATGAGGTGAAACCATAGCAGAGCGAAGACGACGACACATCCTTATATATATATATATATATTGATGAGTAGTATTTTTTTAAAAAATTAATTGATTATTACAAGGCTACAAAGATTTACAAGGCTACAAAGATTTATAATCAATTAAAATTATTAATATAGAAAATAGAATAAAAATTGTAAAATTAGATTCAAATAATGTTTTAATATAAACAATAATTATTAAATCTTGCACCAACCCATGACATCTTATGACTACGTGATTCGAGTTGTCAAAACAACTCTTTCTACATGAATAGCTCGTGTTCGACTCATTAAGCAAACGAGCCAAACATGAACACACTCTTTGAGCTCGAAATATAAGCGAGCTAAACACGAACTGAGCTTAGGCTCGCTCATGTTCGACTCGTTTACACCCCTGAAGACTAGAAATTTATTGCCAAAAATGATGCGGGTGCACCACGAATTTGATATGGGTGCACTAATGGTTGGACATATGAGCGGGCACGACTGATGTGTGAAAAGATTGCATGAATTTCTTTATGTTTTGTTCGTCTTTTTGAATGAGATTACACTTTAAAGAAATTTATTTTTATGTTTTTCTTACATGTATAACATATATTCAGAATGAAACAAAGTAGAAGAAACATGGAGCGAAAAAAAGAAGATTCAGAGAAAAAATAGATTTTGTGAAGGTTGAGGCCATGACGCCAGGAGTTGGGCGCCTAGGCACCAATCAACTTAAAAATGAGGGCATGAAGCCATATTAGAGTGGCGCCTACGCGCCCGACACCCAGGAGCAACCCGAATGGTTGATGCTTAGGCGCCAACCACTGACGCCATGGCGCCAGTCCTGAAGGCCAAGACCATGACGCCAAAATGGAGTGGCGCCTAGGCGCCAGTATAAAAAACTGCACGATTTTGGGCGGTTTGAGCGACCTCTTTGAGGGAGTTTGGGCAGTTTTCAGATCAATTTTTAGAGGAGAATAGGGAGTAATAGGAAGACTTTGAAGTTCGTGGAAAAAAAAAACAATGAAGGGTTAGAAGTTCAGTGGGTGATTTGGGTGTGTCTTCCTAGGTTTAGAGAAGATTTCATCTCTTGTGTTTGTAAGGTCCTAGGCTTGTTCTCTACAAGTTTAAATATGTGAGTTGTGTTGATTTGTACTTGCTGCTTTGTAAAGAGTTGCAGGAGAAGAGCAAGGACTTGGGTGAAGCATTCTCAAGGTTAATTGAGGAAGAGAGATAAATATATTTGTGATTTGGAATTGTAGTTTTCTTAAACACATTTGTAAGTTGGATTTATCTGTTTCAATGCAATTTGGTGTTATTTTATCTATGTTTTCTGAGTAGTTCTTGTTTTTCCTTGTGACGATGTAGTAGATGTGTAGAGATGTGGATATCATATTGAAATAGTTTTTATTCTTTATCTGTGATAATTTTTCTTTTGCACTTACTAGTTCATCCATTAAAATATATTGTTAACCCGTAAGGACTTGGAAGATCTACAACATGAATGACTAGAAAAATCAAGTTGAACTATATGATATGAATCAAAGCACACATAAGGAGATGCAAATGTTAGGGAGATAAAGTTTAAATGGGGATAACTTAGAGGTTTTAAGGGTGATAGTCTAGAGTCATTGCTAAGTTAAATCAAACTTCTTTACGCGCTCGGAGGAGGGTAAACAAGATTTATGCTCCTATTGGTCACAAACTCTACTTTATTTCACATTTCTTCCACATCCACTCTATGTTTTTATCACTGCAAGGAAAAGTAACAACATTTGGCAAAATCAATTCACTTAACGTAAAGAGAATTTTTGTAGGAGTAATTTTAGATTATTATAGTAGGATTGAAAGCATAAGTCAAGTATTTGAAAATTCCAAACTAAGAATAAATTCAATAGATTAGAATATTGTCCTTTAGATTCCCATTGATTCTGTGGGTTCGACACCCTGGACTCTTTTAGAGCTCTATATTACTAAAACGATACATATACTTGCGTGAGAAACCTCAGTGTGCAAGAATATCTAATTTCAAGAATTTAATTAAGTTCCTAGCGAGCGGATTAAGATTTTTGGTGCTATTAGCAAGACTTACATAATTGTGATAATCGTTGGGGCGGATCGGCGGACGGGTTCGAGAGAGTAGAATCTGACGTGGGTTGTGTTAGCTAGGCGCTAGGGTGTTGGGCATGAGCGCACCATGATTAAAGTGGGTGCGCAGATATGGCGGCGCTGGTAAGGCAGTCTGAAATCTTTATGTTGTCTTTTTCACTCCAATTTTTTTGTTTACTATGTTCTTTAAACAATTAATACAAAACATTCATTTCTCAAGAATTTTATAATATAAGAAGTTGTAAAACATGGGAAAGTGTGTTATCCAATTATCACATATTTCACTCTTATCAAATCTCTCAAACTTACCTATTACTTGCTCTCAAATAATCACATTGCTCCACTTTGTTTATTATAAATTGTATAGTACTCTTGTAGGTTTCTAACTATTCAACCTGTTTATCAAGATTAAATAAAAGTGTTTAAATGTCATTATGATCAATTTTCTTTAATAGTTAATAATTTGACATTTCTTTAATATCCTTCATTCCTTAAGAATATTCCATAGATCCTTAAATTGATCTTATGTAATGTCTCTTTCAGTAATCACAAATGTTTTTAATTCAATTTTAATGGATTTTAGCCAATTTAATGTTCACTTAACTCTTACCCTTGAAAATAACTTTTAACGTGGTTTTAATTAAAGAATCAAGTCAAAATTTATCACTAACCCTCATCTGTTTTCTTTTTCTTTTCTTGAATTTTTGTTGTGCCATCCTTAAGTTTCTTCTCAGGAATTTTTCACTTTTTTCATTTTTTTTTTCTTTTTTCCTTTGTGAGGATTATTATCTCTATTTGAGAATTTTCTCTTGTCTAACTTTTAAATGTAAAGAAGGGTTCTGTTCTCTGAACAATAAATCTCAACATTTGATATTTTTAAGGTTTCATCTCCAAGTTATTTTCCATTTAAAATTTAAGGTCACATCAATATTATTTAAGAAAATTGAGTAGATTGAAAGTATTTTTGGGTTTCTACTCAATGTTTAAATCATACCTTTTTAATACTATTTGGATTCTTTTAAGTGAAGTCTGAAGTTGTTAAACTCTAAAATCTTATCATTAACTCATTAAAGTTAATTATTTCTAATGACATTTATCCACTTCTAATAGATTATGATAAACAGTTTGAATTAATTAGAAGTCCTAACAGGAGTTATAAAATGAAATTTAATACTTTACCAAGCTATGTGAACTAATTATTAGGTTGATAACGAGATAAAGTTTTTCTCCCCCAAACTTATTATATAAAATGAAGTAGCAGTACAGATCAAAAGCGGGAAAGTACATGAAAAAGAGTAATTATATAGTCCACATGAATCTCAACAGATACAAATATCAGAAACTAAGCACGAATGCAGTACAATACAAATCTCGCAATCAGGGTAAAAACATTCCATATAGAAATAAGTCTTAGAGGCTCATCTTAAAATAAAATTTAAAAGCAAATTTCAAAACAAATTTTGAAACAAATGCAAAAAATAGAAACATACTCAACACATCAGATAACACTTAGGACGCCTCCCAAGTAGCTCTTGATTTAACGTCCTTAGCCTGACGAAAAATGTTTCCTCTATGATCAAAATTTCAATTCGATAATCCCCGATCAATCATCCGATATTTTATTGTTCCTAGAGTTTTTACTAAGTCCTCGAAATTTAATTTTTCTTATAACTTTTTCCTCGCAATTTGATAACGGTTTTCTAGAAGGTATGTGAGGGGTTTATTAAGATGATAATTCCTAAGGGTATTTTCTAAATTCAAATTTCTCCTAATTAATTTTCTTACTTGCAGATCAGTGTTTTCCTTACAAGTTGCAATAAATGAGTCCCTATAGGATAATTCAAGGTTTTCTAAATTTTTGGCTGGGTTCCCTATGTTTTTATGGTTATGGGTCTAATTCTACTGGGTCACTCTTCTGCCTAGGGTTGTCTTCCAACTTTTCCCCTTGGGGCACTTCTATGGGTGATACTAAAGGCTCAACTATCTTCCTCACTCTTCTGCCTAGGGTTGTCTTCCAACTCTTCCCCTTGAGACACTCCTATGGGTGACACTAAAGGCTCAACTATCTTCCTCACACTTTAAGGTGGTTCCTTGAAAAGAAGAGTAGATTCATCCTCAATCGATTCTCCAACAAAAATCATTCAACAAAGCTTGTTCTTCGGGGTCTAAATCCTCTGATTCAGAAATTGTTCTATCATCTACTCTTGACATCTCTTTGGGTTCATTGCTTAAAAGGTTAGCTAACTGCCCAACATGATTTTCTATATTTCTAAGGGCATTAACTTGGCTTCGTAATACCTTCCCTAGATTTATCACTACTTCCAAATACTCATTTTCTTCAGGGCATTTTCTGTGGGACAATGGGTCGGAGAGTTGTGGGAACCAATTGGTCTCATTTCTCAGACATCATTGCTCTCCTTAGTTGTTTTTTTTTTAAATTAGTGCAGGCACGTCCATTGATGACTAGTTTTAATGTTTTCTGGGATTATTTTTGTTTTTCTTACATCGTTTGAACAGTTCTGTTTGAGGCCTAGTTTTTTACCTTGTAAATATAACTGATTTTTATTTAGTATAGCGTTGCATGCTTCCATGCGTGTTACAATTATTTGCAATCTACGTGTAGATCACCTTTCATGCTTGGAATTTTAGTTTACTTGCCTTCTTAGTATCACAGCTATGCTACTATTATTATTATTATTAAACTAAAAAGCAGGAGATAATTGTTATCTGATGTCTGTAAACAATAAATTTTATTAAAATCTAGTATTAATATGCAACTATTTGTCTTTGATTAGGGGAAGATTGTTAACCGGCCACTTGCTGGAACTATTAGAAGGGGAATGTCAGAGCAAGCGGATAAAATGCAAGAACAGCAGCTACTGAGAGATGAGAAGGAACGTGCTGAACACATAATGCTTGTAGATTTAGGACGGAATGATGTTGGAAAGGTCTGCCTCTTTTTGTTTTATATCTTGTTAGTTCAGCTGCTTATATCACTTAGGATTGTTACAAAAGTTCTTCGTTCTTGTGCATTTTCTGTTGTTTTTTATCCCCTGTTTATTCCTAACAAATGATTGATCTATCTGAATCAAATCAAGAATAATTAAATACCCATCTATTAAAGAAGAAAGCCGCATACTGGAAAATAAGTTTCGAGTGAAGGCACTTAGTCTAAAGAATCCAGTTTCCAATGGATCCTTAGATGTAGCCTTCGAGTTCTGTAACTATGAATTAATAAGTACATAAGTTATTTGACATTTTAATGTCCAAAGGATTTAAAATTTACATCCAATTTCCTTCACCTCGGGTCCTGACCTTGTTTAAATGGGCTTATGTGACAGGTATCAAAATTTGGTTCAGTTAAAGTGGAGAGACTGATGAACATTGAAAGATATTCTCATGTGATGCATTTCAGCTCAACGGTAAGGCTGGTTTTATTTGAATCGGAAGAACAGGATTTTGGATACCCTTTCTTCTGATTGGTTGAATTTTGTGTTGATAATACAACTTGCAAAAAAAATATCATAGTCGGTTTCAAGCTCAAATGAGAAATGTTAAGAATTAATGTTAGGTTGGCAATCAATTATTAAAATTTATCATATATTTAATGAGCTAAATATAAATTTAAATTCCATTAGTGATTTTGCATTCTCAAGATGATGCATCATAACCTAATTTTATTTTGATGAAAGTAGGCAAGTGTTTGCTAGGACCACCCCTTCTTGACAGGCCAAACCTAACTCAACTACGGTGTAAAGTGAATGTGTTGACTAAGTCTAACACTAAGATTCAATTTCCTAAATGAAATTCGAAGGTATCAAATAAAAAGATGAGAATTAGTCAGCATAATGATTCAAACGATGATATTGTCCGTTCTTAACAAAATAAATGAAAAGGGGGAAGCTCTAAAGGCATTTGAAAAAGATAAATGAGGCAATAGTGATAGTGTTAGATTGATTGCCTTTAAGGTGATTGTCCTTGTGGATATTTTAATCATGTTTGACGCGTGCTAGCGCCTCATTTTGAATTGAAATATAGTTTAAAGAAAATCAATATTGAGACGGGAAGGTGACTTAATAAATCATATGCCTTCGGAAATAATAGTTTTTGGAGGTGACCTATATTGAATATAGGTTCTTATAGGATGGATTATGAGAGTATTTCATGGTCAGTATGGACTTGGAGACAAAAATATATAATTGGGGAAGCTATATTTGATTTCACATCAAGTTATATTCTTTTTCAATAACAAACACTTGCTTAAAAAATTGGAAGGACATTTAATTACTAATAAAAATGACACCACTAAATCTACAATTAGACTTTTTGTTATCATAATGAGGAGAATTCCTTTGAAAATATTATAATTTATAAAGAGTATTCACCATCCACATAAAGTAGTTGCCATGGATGTGAACGTTACAACTATAAAGAAATCAATCAAATGAAATTGTTTTCCTAGGATAAGATTTTTTAATTTGAAAGATAAAAAACTGTTAATGCCCTAAAATAAATGTTGAGAGAGAAAATTATAAATTCTTTAGTGGAAAAAAACATGATGTGGGATAAGATGGTTAGTTCCATTAAGAAGGTTATCATAGAAGTTGAGTTTAGAGATAGATCATATACTTATAAGGAGATTTATTTATAGAGTGAGGAGGTGTAAAAGCTTATTAATAAAAATAATTGGCCTTGCTTATAAAAAGTGTAAAAATTAAATATCAATAAGGCTTATAATGATTATAAGAAAGATTGACTTTTAGCAAAGAGTGTTGTGATCAAAGAAATATCTAGAACTTTAACTTTTGTTCATCTATATATTGGATCTATTGAAGAAGGAGAAGATAAGATTTATATGAAGTTAAAATAAGAGATTTAGAGACTTTGATAAAGTTAATATATTAAAATGAAGATAATGGGCTCTTAACTAAAGATTACAGTATTAGTGAATGATAGAAATACTATGTCGAGAAATAATCAATGTTTTAAGGGAGAATTTATTTTGATAGAGCATATTGAATTTAATAATTCTATTTATTTTAGTGATCCATAAAAATTAGGTAGAGTTAGCTTCAAATAATATGTATAAATGTAACTCTTTGAATTTAGTTTAGATGCCTATTGCGATATACAAATAATATATTTTGTTTGGTTAGCAAACCTTTTAATTGAGGATGCTAAATGGTAAGAAAGAAACATTTTGATATTAATATTAAAAACAAATAAGGTATGCAGGGTTGTGCTAACTATTGATAAATCAAATTTATTAGTCATATTATAAAGCTTGGAAATGGTAATGGATTTTAAACGTGAAAATTTATGTTAGTTTGGGCGACTGAAGAAAATAATGGAATATAAGTTTGGAAAAATTATGCAAATTTATGAGAATCAATTTGGTTTTTTTGCCAAAAAAGATCTACGAAAACAACTTCTATGTAAGATGATTATTGAGAAGTATAAAGGTCATAAAAATGAACATATGATTTTATTTATCTTGATGAGAGGCATTATTGAGTATTTTGAGAATTGATTTGGTACTCCTTAATGAAAAGCTTTGTGTTAAAGATATGTTGGAGATCTTAAACATATGTATGATGGAATGTTGACTACTATTAATAATTGTAGAGCGATCAAAGAGTTTCCTATCATTGAAAGATTATATTAAGGATTTGCATTTATTCAATTATTATTTTTATATTGCCTATATATATGGTTGCAAAAGATATTTAAAAGGATATTGTTATATTCTTTTTGGAGACGACATAGTTCTTTTTTGTAACACATCTATTGAAAAAAATCAAAATTTAACTAATTGGTGAAAATGCTTGGGATTCGTACAATCATGCATGAATATATTATATGCAATTTTTGTTTGTGTGTGATGTTAATAATTAGTAATTAATATTATTTGAAGATTAAATCATATCTTGTTGTGTTTAATTTAAGAATCTTGAATCTATTATATTAAGAATAAGAATATATTAGGATATAACTTCTAGAGTTAAGGATCTAGTTAAATTGATGCCATAGAAGCATTTTTATGATAAATGGATATTAAAATATGAATGACAAACTTAGTGCTAAAGTATCTACAGGAATGTATTACAATGCACAACAAACTAACACAGAGACCAAACAAGCTGGAGAAAGAGAGATTAAGATTTATGTTGGAGAAAGGATAGTGGATTTGTTCCACTTTCAAATGAAGCCACAATGCATAAAATAAAGGGCACTTGCTATCGTTTCTTAAAAACCAATTATTCCCATTATTAATCAAAGAAGAAGCTTAAGAACATTCTCATAATTACCTTAGACACGGTCTTTTCATACCCACACAGAGAGAGAGAGAGAGAGAGAGAGAGAGAGAGAGAGAGAGAGAGGAATAACGAAGGTAAGTGCAATTTTTGATTCTATATTTATGTATGTTAAGGTGGGATTTCAGTAGTCTTATCACCAAAGAAAGTCTCATCACCAAAGAAAAACTTTTGAATATATTGTATGCAATTTTTTTGCGCGTGACGTCAATAATTAGTAATCATTATTATTCGAAGATTAAATCCTATCTTGTTGTGTTTGATTTAAGAATCTTGAATCTATTATATTAAGAATAAGAATATATTAGGATATAACTTTTAGAGTTAAGGATGGCAGTTAAATTGATGCCATAGAAGCATTTTAATGATAAATGGATATTAAAATATGAAAATACCTACAGGAGTGTATTACAATGCACTACAAAATAACACAGAGGCCAAACAAGTTAGAGAAAGAGAGACTAGGATTTATGTTGAGGGGATAGTGGATTTGTTCCACTTTCAAATGAAGCCACATAGTGCATAAAATAAGGGGCACTTGCTATCATTTCTTAAAAACCAATTATTCCCATTATTAATCAAAGAAGAAGTTTAAGAAAATTCTCATAATTACCTTAGAACACGGTCTTTTCACATGCACTTCATAACCACAGAGAGAGAGAGAGAGAGAGAGAGAGAGAGAGAGAGAGAGAGAGAGAGAGAGAGAGAGAGAGGAACAACGAAGGTAAGTGCAATTTTTGATGCTATATTTGTGGGTGTTAAGGTAGAATTTCAGTAGACTTATCATCAAAGAAAAACTTTTGACTTTTAATATCCCACGTAATGTTCCTTAGTTCACATGCAAGGTGAGTAGAACATAATATTAAACAAACCCTGATTAAGGGGGTAGCCAAATTTACGTACTATTTAATGTAAATACAACAAAAAAAGGACAAATTAAATCTGTACTTCGCTAAATCCAATTTTTCTTCCCTTATATTATTTTTTAACTTAAATCCAGATTTATTAAATTCGATTAATATTTGAATTTAGCATATTTAGATTAGGAAGAAAATCATAGGTGTGGGTATATTCCAAACACCATAAACGTATTTAATGGATTTAACCTTAAATTGAACCAAACATTATTCTAAATTTTGGCATTTGGGTTTGATAAATCCAGATTTATCGGATTTACTAAATATTTTTTTAACCTAAATCATATAGGCAACCAAACACCCCCTAAGTCAGATTAATAAATTTTTATAATATTATGACAATAACCTAAATTTGCTCTATAATAATCTGAGTTAATTGTTGTGAGATATATACCGGTTGTTGTGGTATATATATATATATATATATATAGAAGTAAAATAGGAGAACGATCTTCGAAGCGAAAAATAAAACGAGAAAATTCACACTAGAAAACAGTAATACAGTGGAACACATAGATTTACATGGTTCGGCAAATTGCCTACGTCCACGGAGTTGCATAAGATTTTACTATTTGAGGAATTTACACTAGTCGATTGTCTCGACTTAAAAGAGGAATCTTTCACTTCGTTGCTCTCTCTTCTTCTGTCTCTATACCGAGATACACCGAAGAAGCTCTACACTAAGATATGCCGAAGAAGATAAACTTACAAGAGAAATAAACCCAATTTCTCTTCTGCCACAAGCCATCAAGAAGAAATCAAGGGAGAACAATCTTATTCTTCTTCTTTCTTATTCCTTCTGCCGCAAGGAACTACTGCTTGCACTTTCCTTCATTTATCCCAAGGAAACCTTCCTCTATCCTGAGGAAACCAAACAAGAACACAAAAGGCTATGCCGTAACTGAAGGAGAGTCGCTGCGATGCCTTTTATCATGAACAGGAAGGGAGACGTCGCGACTATTCGTGACAAAGGAGCGGTTCGCAAACAACAGGGTCGCGTCCTTTTGCGAACGAGAGAGGAACGAGTATCGTGAACTAAAGAGGATAGCGGGAGCGGTCGCGACGATTCATGACAGAGCGGGAGCGGCGCTTCACGATCGAGCTCCATATTAAGGGGTGTAAACGAACCGAACACGAACAAATAAAGCTTGTGTTCGTGTTTGGTTCATTTGAAATTTAGTTTGTTTGAAATAAACCCGTGTTCGAAATTGTTCGTGAAGTCATTATTCGTGTTCGTTTCTTAACGAACGAGCCGAACACGAGCTGTTTGCGAACGACGAGCCAGTTTGACATCCCTAATATTAATAATATAAATAATATATTATATTAATTATATAACTTATATTATATAAATATAAAGTATCTATATTAGTCTATTACTAATATAATATATTAATATACTATTATTTTTAATTTATTATATATTATAATTTATAAAATTTAATTTTTTAAAATATCATAAATTATATATATATATAATTATTTTAAACTATTTTATATTTCGAACAATAACGATCCGAACACGAACGAACGCATCACTGTTCATGTTTGGTTCATTTAACTAACCGAACAAAAAAAATTTGTTCATGTTCGTCTCGTTTGCTTATCGAACGAATCGAACACGAACTCATTGACGAACCAAACACGAACTGTTCGCGAACAATGAGCTTTTTTAACAGCCCTATCCAACACAACATTAATCTCTTAAAGCTCTAAAAGGCTAGGCACTAACATTCTTATAATGCCCAAATGATACATAAATTGAGCACTTACGGAGAAATTTCTAGTATAAATGTTGCTAAATTGGATAACTAAAACGTAAAGTGGACTTATTATTTTTATGCCCCTGCAGCGGCCATCTTCCCATTTTGAAAGTTGTGATAGTATGAATTGCACCGTAATAAATTGTGCAACATAAACTTGATTCATTTAGTGTCCTCTTAAAGCTATCCCTTTGTCTAGTGCTTACATTTGTCTCAGAACCTTTATTCCAGTCATGATTAACCCACTTTTGCTTCCCCAAAATGTGATGCTCAATAATTGACGAAGATAAAATTGAAGCAGCAGTTGAGGTTGCATCATATACCACATAGGTATCTTGTTATTCTTATATTTGTGACAACTAAGAGCATCTCAACATTACAAAAGATGCTATAGCACGGAGTAGTAAGAGCAATAAAGATCAAATTCTTTCACATATCACGCATACCTACCTCTAATCAATCTTTTAGTCAGACTCTCACGCAATGCCAAAATCAACAGTCTTGCACACAATATTGTTTCCGTAATACACAAAACCATTATATGGTTCATAACTAGAAAGCAAATTCTTATTCAAGCGAATCATATATACATGGTAATTCAAAATTTCAGTAATCCACCCCATTTTATAATCACATAAAGAACATTGCTAAAATTTATATTTAACATTTTGCATTCACATTCATGGACATGTACACCCATTGGTTGTCATTTGCATGTTTCTCATCCAATCCAATATCAAAAGAAGCAATATCGGTGTACAAAATAAAGAGATAGTCATTAGTCCTTTTCGAAACTATAGTACACCTGCTTTAGTCAAAGGTGAATTTTAAAGGAACTCCTATATAGAAAATTACCTCTCAATAAGATCATCTCGTATGCACCAAGAATCTAAATTGCTTGCAATAACATGCTTTTGCATGCACCAAGAAATTTTTATTGATCAGTTATGTTAAAGTTGTCAAACTTCTCCAATCTCCAAGACCATGAATTGAGGATCTAATAGAGGTGAAGATTTGAAACCTCGAGAAGGCACATATAGCTCATGCGTTGAGAAGGCACATAATTGAGAGAAGCGTAGAGCTAAGCCACATGGTTTACAGGAGGTTTCCAATATTGCAATGCTAGTAGATCTCACATGCAAAAATAATGACAAAATGATTTTTGGGTCTAGTTTTGTGAATCCTAAGGTAGAAACCAGTGGTCCGATCACCATAGAAATATTCTAGGTATTTAAGATCTTGTATAATGCTCCTTAATTCCTATTCAACATGATTAATCAAATATTAAACATGATTGAGACAATTTAACAAACAAATATCATAAAGAATTAAAAGTTAAATTTTATTAGATTACAATTAAGTTTACAATGCTGTATTGGTCCAAGTGTTGGGGCAGGAGAAAAACCATTGATGAATTTGTTGAAAGATTGTCAAGAATAAATGAAAGGATGATTACATTAGCGGACTGATTGTAGTGACATATATTGAAGAAGTGATTGATAATAGATTTGCTGCCTTGGGCATGTGCACCTAAATGTAAAAATGTGCTATAGATGAGTAAATGAAATTGGCACCAGAGAATTGGAAGAAATGATAGACTTAAAGCAATATGGAGAAACATTGTTTCAAATGATTTTCGAAGAATTTGGTTAAACCTTAACTAGAAAGATTGGAGCATTCAGGCTTACAGAGCTAGCCCTATATTTGGATAAGTCTAATTAAGGATGGCCTGTACAAATAGTTCACCTCATAATAATGATTTACCTTGTAGGTTCTATTTGGAATAAGCACATACTCTTTTTTTTTTCTTTTGTTCAGGATGATGAGTAAATAATTAATGCTAATAATTTGGCTCAAACTCCCAACTCTGATGCAGGATTGTATAAAAAGGTCAAGTTCTATTGATATTTATCCATGCTTATTGTATTTCATTAATGTTGAGGCGCTTAGACTTGTTCAGGACTAATAATTAATCTTGTTATGTTTTAGTTTTATTTTTAGTAATTGGAAAAATCAGTTGTATTTTAATGCAGATTACCGGAGAGTTATTTGATCATCTTAATTGCTGGGATGCTTTAAGAGCCGCATTGCCGGTGGGAACAGTTAGCGGTGCTCCAAAGGTCTGGCTTATCATGGGCATTTTCATTGTTCTGCCGTTCTTTCTCTGCTACTTATTTTAAGCTCGGAAACATTTAATTTTTAATTCAATCTTCATTTTCTTTCCGTTTGTTCAGGTGAGAGCCATGGAACTTATTGATAAATTGGAGGTGACACGACGAGGTCCTTATAGTGGTGGGTTTGGTGGGATATCTTTTAATGGTGACATGGATATTGCTCTAGCTCTCAGGACCATGGTCTTTCCAACAGCTGATCGCTACAGCAGACGGTATTCATTCAAGAACATGAATAGAAGGCAGGAATGGGTGGCTGATCTGCAGGCTGGAGCTGGGATTGTGGCAGACAGCAATCCTGATGATGAACAGAGAGAGTGTGAGAATAAGGTTGCAGCTCTTGCCTTTGCCATTGATCTCGCAGAGAATACTTTTGTCAAGTTATAGGTATGCCATCCCTGCAATTTTTTCATGTGTGTTAAGCTACAGAAAATCAATTCTTTCACGAAGCTTTTATTCTTCGAAGTAAATTCAATCACTTGAAAATATGTTTAATTAAATTGGATTAGAATATTTTGAATCAAAATTTCTCTTATTAATTTTGCATGTGTGAGCTTGATGTGATCAAGATCACCTTCGAAATCATTTTGACAATTAAAAGGTTTTCTCTTTGAAGCCTGCCACATGAATCGTGGTGGCATTAATAGGAACAAAGATGAAATTTGATTTATTTGCTGGGTATTTTATTAGCTGTAAACCCAAATCATATTGATTCTCATGAAATTCACAATATTTTATTCTTATTTGTTTTTGTAATTTATATTTATATATTCACGATCCGGCTCGGGGCTGAAATTAACCAAGATGAAAATAGAAGGTCAAATAATAAAAATAAATTTCCTACTATTCTATTTCTATCACTAACATTTTAATATTCAAATATTCATGAAAGAACCACTAAAGAAAGCAATTTTAATAATAAGTAGAAGTGTTTTCTTTTTTACTTGTCCAGTTGTTGTTCTTGCCTCTTGTACACATTAGCTAGTATTATATTCATCTTATTAAAAAGCTTAAATCCTAAAAAAAATTTAAAAAACATAATAAGTTATCTAAAGATAACACAAGAGTAATCACACTTCTAAACTACAGTAACCTAAGAAAGAGATCAATATGCATGTTGACCTTTCATATTTCTATAAAAATCTTATAATTTGTCTGTATTCTCTTTTCTATAAGAAGTCTTTTAATATGTTAATGCATGTATCAATGATATTTACTCAATGAAAATACTCTAAACTTCTATATGTATTAATTTTAACTTTACCTTTATTTTATACTATTAACATACATATCTTTCTGTCTAAAGAGCACCGTCAAAACATTACTTAACACACCCCTGACCGATATCATCTTGTCAGTACAACGGTTAGCGCTCTAAACATCATAATTGTCTGAGGTGGAAAGGTCCTGACATGCTTCTGACCAATATTCTCAATTGTCTGGGGTGGTAAGCTGTCTGCTGGCCCCTGCCCGATATTATCTTGTCGACACAAAGATTAGTGTTCTATACGTAACAATTGTCAGGCGTGCGGGTATACTGACGTCCCCCTGCCTGTACCATCAGGGGGTGAACTATTTTCTTAACATGCATATACATACATTCATATATAAGCTATTTCTTTCTTTATAACATACATTCTTCTAAGATATTTTCATTATCTACTAACATACATACTTAATAGAATGTGTTAATGTTTATCGTGCATATCTTTCTTACCTACATGCATATCTTGTATATCTTTCTTTCATACATATCATGCATGTCTTTTCTATCTTGCATTTTTTTTTTCACTTGTATGTTTCCTATCATGCATATCTTTTCCATTTAACAATATGAATAGTTAATTGTAATTAAAATCTAACCGAATTAGAGTATACATGAAGTCAAATATAAATTTTGAAGTAAAGAAGATTGCTGAAATTAAAATTATAATTACTTATCTTGGTTGCCATATTAGATTCTTAATTTTCAGCAACTAGCTTGGTGTCACGATAATTTTTACGTTGATATTAATAACAAACGTAATATAAAAATTTAAAATTCAAACAAGTTTCGTTAATTGAATTATTCTTCTTAAGTTAACACAAAATTATTTTAACTGAATAGACGTAGCAGCTGCACGATGAGTTTCTATATGCTCACCTTGAGTTCGACGCCTTTGCAAATGACCTGTAATTCATAAATATTTTAGGGTTTCATGATATATTGACTCATTTAGTGATTTAACCATAAAATTACTTGTTTTATCTCAAATGGGCTTCTAGCTAACCAACCCTTCCACGAAATTGCTATTCTTCTTCCCCCTTCTTTCTATTCCCTTACTCCTCAATTTTCCTCACTAATTTTCTAGTAAAATCTTTTACAGATGTGCTAGACTAAGTTCTTTACTTCCAACATAAGCTCATGTCCGCTAAAGTTACCAGAAATGACTAAGCGCACAAAATTCAGGCAAACCTCAAAATGGAAAATTGAAGAAGGAAATAAATATCTCAAATAACATGAAAAAGGTCATATTGATTGATTTTGTCTTTGAGCCTAAATCGTGAGCTGCGACACTCGACTGGTTGCTTGCTCGTCTCTATTCGAGCTTGTGTACAGTAGCCAAACGTTGGCCCTTACAGGAAGAATCAGGAGAGGACTTTGTGCGAACGAAATCAAAAGATGGGAGAGGATTCAAAGGCTTCGGAGTAAGGATCCCCCCATCCGATCGAAATCAATGCTAAATATCGTGTGAATGTCGATTGGGAACAATAGTTATACGGATTAAGGATAAATTAATTAAAATTATAACTTAAAAATTTTATATTTCCCATGTATTTATAATTAAGATATAATATTATATATTAAATTGATTGATTCGACAAGTAGAATTTAATAAATTTGATTCGGTTGGAATCTGAGGGATACGAAATAAGGGTTACATTTTAAAGTCATCAAAATTTTTACAAAGTTTCTCAAAAAAATTTTATTTTTTAAACTAATAAGATTTTGTCCTCAAAATTCATGAACACACGAATTAATTATCCTATAGATGAAACGTAAAGTGATAATAAAAGTCCGTGTCTTGTTCACGGATAATTAAAACATATGAAACTCTATGCATTAGCACTAGTGACAACATTTTTTTCAGGTTCCTGATTATTGAAGGAATGAACTCTCAGTCGAGTGTTCTGTCTTAGTTGCTCTTTATGAGCCATATTATCAACTTTTGTTATCCTTTGCTGACCACTTCTAAAAGTAAATCATTCCTGAAAATTCTTCTAAGTTGAACCCCATGTTAACATTTGATATGGATCCATGAGTAAAATTAGGACAATTCCTCATATGTGGTCCATTTTGTTTGCATCAATAACACATCTTTAATTCAAATAGACATTCACCACAATGTTGCTTCCTACACTTACAAGGCTCTATATTGGTGCTACCACCTTGACTTAGAACTCCACCAGTGTGGGACTTTATCTTCTTTCCAAAAGACTCCTGAATGAACTAATGGTTCTACTTCTTCCAACTCTTTCTCTTGTGTATGTCTTTACACTTCTAAGTCAGTTGGAAATCAATTTCTACCTGCTTGGCCCTCTCCACTAGCACTGAATATTCTTCAATCCCAAGTGGCACTACTGACTTCCTGATTAAGCCATTCAATCCAGAAAAAAATCCTTGGCATTTCTATTCTGTATTTGGAATGGGCTGTGGTGCATATTTCGATAGTATAGTGAACTACGCTTCATGCTGCATAACCGATGATCTCATTTCTTCTGAGCATCTTCATTCTTCTACTAACATGCATAGTTTAATGTGCAACTATTTATCATGCATACCTTTCCTATCATGCATAACTTGCATATCTATGCATATCTTTTTTATATGCATATCTTTTCTCTTATGTCTACATTTTCTATTAAGCATACCTTTTCTATATAACAATATGAAAAAGCTATTGTAATTTAAATTTTAATGAACTAGAATATACATTTTGAATTAAAGAAGATTATTGAAATTTAGAAATCTAATTACTCAACTCGGTTTCCACGTTAGATTCTCAATATTCAATAACTAGTTTGATGTCATGATAACTTTTGTGTTAATATTAATAACATATAAAACATAATATCAAATTTTAAGATTCAAAAAAGTTTCCATTAATTGAATTATTCTTCCAAGTTAGCACATAATTATTTTACCTGAATTGACAGAGTAACTCTATGATGAGTTTTCACTCGCTTGCCTGCTCATGTAAGGAGCATGAAATTTTTAAGCATCTTAGGATTTCATGATAACTTGGCTCATTTCATGATTTAATCATAACATAACTTTCTTACCTCAAATGGGCTTCTCAACATAACCGGCTCTTCTCCGAAGCTGCCTATTCTTCTTCCCTCTTCTTCCTATTCTCTTACCCACCCGTTTATCTCGCTGATTTCCCCGTAAAATCACTTACGGAAGCCCACAGACTAACTAAGTTCTGTACTTCCTACACAAGCTCACCACCGCTACAACTACCATAAATGAAAAAAAAATGTACAAATTTGAGGGGAACGTCAAAATGGAGACATGAGGATGGAAAATAATATCTCAAATAGTATGAAAGAGAGCTTTGTACTCACATATTTCTTCCCCGAAGCCTAAACTAGGAGTTGCGGCACTCGACTAGTCACTCGCCTATCCCTATTCGCGTCTGTGCTATAGGAGCTGAATGCAGATGCTCGGAAGAAGAAATAGGAAGGGGCTTCGTGCGAACGAAATTGAGAGATGAGAGAAGGATTTAAAGCTCTGGAGTAAGAATCCCCCCATTCGATCGAAATCAGTGTTGACATCGTGTGAATGCCAGTTGAGAATAGTAATCATGTAGGCTCCCATTCCATTCAATTAAAATTTGTGTTATATATTGAATTGATTGATTTGACATGTAAAATTTTATTAAATTGATTTGATTAAAATATGAGGAACGAAAATTAGGGGTATATATTTTAAAAGTCCAAAATTTTTATCTGATTTCTTAACATTTTTTTTAAAACTGATTATTACATATATATGCCATGAGAAACTGCAATTTATGGGTCAATGATCTCTTTTTCTCAGGTTATCACATAGCGATCGAGGTTTCCCTTGGCATTGTTAGCACTAGCATCAGTATATGCAGTTCTGTTAGGCCTCGTTTTGAAAACCACAATCAGAGTAGGAAGCAAAAGTATGGGACCGAAATCAAGTATCCCGTAGCTCTGGTGAACCTCTATTCTTCAGTCCATCCAGATTTTATCAGGAGACGATAATTGTTATTCTTTTGATGTTTTCCAACACTGGCTTTTCATGTTGTAATAGAAAAATTAGTTTTAATTAATGTTGATAATTTTGATAAGGATTTCTTGTTTTACTTCGCACGGGGATCACGATACATTGATTCCAAGTTTAGAAACCTTGTTAAAATTTATTCATTAGTCTGCATATTAACTTTTTGACATACTAGATTTTTAACAAGTCTAAATAATTTGCAAATCTTCCCTCTACCAACCCAATAGGTGGCGTGAAAGGTTTTAATACTTCATGATGCCACCACTCATGGGGAAGGAATGCTAACATAATCAAAAGAATGCATATATCATGTCGTATTTGAGGACTAAATTTCAAAAGCAGGCCTAAAACTGCTTTGATGAAGTCCCAAGGTCAATGAATCCTTCGCAGGATCTATTCAAGGGTCTCTCATTACATATATTTTATGCAGCATAATGAATGAAAAGGCTTAAGAGATTTGCGAGAAGCAGAAAAAGTTGATTTTCGTTATGCATATCTAAATCTAATTAATTTTTTTATTAATCCTTTTATAAGTGTCTGATTTCTGCTTTTTTTATGCCCACTCAATCTAAGGAAAAAAAATTATAAAACAGTCATGTTCAATAAAAAGAAGAGAATTGCAAAGAATACAAACTATTAAAAATTATAAAGGCAATTGTGATGTGACTTAAATCAGAAGAAATTTATATTTTTTGTCATAGCAAACAATACAAAAGGGAAAAGAGAAAAAAAAAAAACACTGATTCTTAACCAGGGCTCACTGATTCTTAACCAGGGCTATCAATATCGTTTCCATCATAAAAAATTTCAAAACTTTTTTATATCAGCAAAGAGCAAAAACATGAGCTTCTTTGCTTGGAGATTCTACAGAAGTGTAACAAGTAGAAAAGGAGGCCCAAATAGAGGTTGGCGTACATGGCAAAACCATTATAACCCCCACAGGGAAATAAGAAATCGAAAACATTTTTCTATGTTTATTAAGATGTTGTTCTCAAACCAAAACGCCTCTGCCTTTTCTGAAACGCACGTAAAGCCTCGGCATACTCATATTCTCCAAAATCTGGCCAATGTGACCGTGCAAAGTAAAGCTCAGTGTATGCAAGTTCCCATAATAAGAAATTGCTTAATCTCAATTCACCGCTAGTTCGGATAAGTAGGTCAGGGTAAGCATAACCGCCAGCGCAGCTTGTTTCTAGTTCTTGTGCAACGCTACATTCAGTGATATCTTCCAGTTTAAGTATCCCATGTTTCACCTTTTCGGCAATCTTCTGGCAAGCTCGGACTATATCAGTTCTTCCACTATAGCTTACCGCAATAAGTAAATCAAGCCCTGAATTGTTGCGCGTAATTTCTTCCAGTTCTGTAGCCGAATTCTGCAGGGATTTTGGAAGTTTTGAAGAATCACCAATGATGCGTAATCGAATACCTTCCCTGCCAGGTCAAACATAAAATCAAATGTCATGTCTTAGGAAAACTAGAGTGTTTCATATTATTAGACAAATCATAAAACTTTAAATTCACATCTCGGTTTCATTTGTGCCGCACATATGCCAAATATATGGGTGCTAAGAGAAAACAAGGTGAAATATAATCTTAATCCTATTACAGTTCAACTATTTAAAAGCCTAAGAGTGGTAGATAAATGGCGAGGATGTATTACAGCAGTTATGAGGGAATGTGGAGAACCAATTTCAGCATGGGGTTGTAACTCGAGGAAGGCATTTGCTGTTATGTGCTGTTATGCCCTCATTATCCAGGGGGTTAATGGAGACCTTGCTTCTGAGATGGTGATTACGTTGAGAGGAATGACTTCTGGTAAGAATATTAACAAGTTGATCTTGGGTAGATATATGGTGAATGGTAGCTGTTTTGGAGGAGATAAGGTCTCAAATAAATTGATAGTCTCTCTACATGTTTAACAAGAGCATAGAATATCGGATTATTTGCTACATTCATGACCGAGGTGTTATCATAGTACAAAGAAGTAGGAGATGAATAGAAATGCCAAATTAATTAACCCACGCAACCAATGATATCTGTGATAACTGCTGCAAGAGCACAATATTTAGCTGCTGTAGAAAATCGAGTGACTCTCCTGTTTGAGAACCTTTCAGGAGATGAGATTGGTCCTAGAGAAAGTACAATATTCTGTAGTGGAGCGACGATCGGTTGGATCTCCAACCCAATCCAAATAAAAAATATGAGTGAAATTCGGGACCATCAGCCAAAGAGGAAGTCCATAGCAGCAGTGCTTTTCAGGTAGTGGAAAACATGTTTAAGAAGCTTAAATGCAGTAACGCGACTTGAGCCTTGGCCAGTTGGGCAGAAGACCGGTCTAGCCTCCCTGATGGACCGAACCAGCCATGCTTCATTAGGGGCGAAAAATTCCGCCCCTCCCCTATTTTTTCTTGTACGATTTCCCTTCCTTCCTAATCCATCACCCCTCATTTATTTCTTTCCTAGTCTATCTACTAATTCCCACTTATTTATAGATGTTGTTTGTTGAGGGCTCAGTTTTTGTTTTATCTCTGATTTCAGTTGTGTCTCTAAGGCGTTCCCTATTTTAGGGCTTTATCTAACGGCGAGCGGTGCTCCGACTAAACCTCGCCCGAGGTGGTTACTAGCTCCTCTCACTCCCATTCTACCATGCTGCCATCCACCTTCCGGCACCTTCCCCTCCACTGCTGACCTTCCCTACTCTCTCCAGTAGGCTTCAGATCAAACCGATCAAACCGATCAAACCAACCACTCCCTGCAGCAGCTGTACTCCTTGTCGGCGCCTCCCAGCCGGCCGAGGCATCCTCCCGCGCTTTCCCGTAGATCGTCCACCCCCTGCACTCCCTAGCAGGCCGCAAATCTAGCCTGCTTCTCCTAGCAGCATCGCACTTCCTTTCGAACACCTACCAACTAGTCATCCACCTTCCCACACCTTCCACCCACCACTGACTACTTCTACATCCTCCAACAAACCGCAGATCCTTTTGGCTTCTCCCAGCAGCCACCGCACTCCCTTCCCGACACCTCCTAACCGGTCGTCCACCTTCCAGGCACCTTCCAGTAGACTTGCGCGCTGCCGGCCTCCCACTGTCCTTCCAGCACCCCACCATTTTCTGCTAACTACCATTCAGTCCTCCAACAAGCTCCCTCCATCGGCCAGACCGGCCGCACTCTGCTAGCGAGGGCCGTTTCTATCCTTGTGTCGTTCCATTTTCTTATTTTTGCAATCATTATTATTGTTTATTGTTTATATGTGGTGTGTTGTTTTAATTTGAGCCATCATCATTGTAACCATTTGAATTGAACCATAAAATATGTGTCGTTTGAGTCGTGATTTGGGTTAATTCCAGTGTCATTTGGTATGAGAGCTGGCTCAACCGTAGACCTATCCTAGGATTTCCTAGGACCTGCCTTCCTCTTCACAAAAAAAATTCTTTTATATTCCCAAACCATAGCCAAAACTTTGACCTAACCTTAATTGTCCCTTGCTGATTTTTAAAATCAGCAACCCTAAATCATTTTTTTCGCCCTCATTTCCCTCCAACTCCAAACTCTAACCATGCCACCTAGAAGATATATGCCCAAACCCATCCAGGAAGAGATACAATGATAGATCCTCCGACTTCAGCGGAGGCTTGTGGATATTGAGGATGAAACCCAGGGAAATTACCCTTGATCAGGTCCTGAAAAATTGAAGAGGCAAAAGAAGAGAATTTCAACCGCTTCCATAGAGAGGATTTGGATTTCAGTGATGAAAAAGAAAGGTCGAGAGAAGAGCCAACATATAGAGAACGGGAGAATCTGAAGATGAAGTGGGAGATCCAGCGCCAGTTCCTATCAGCTTACTATAGACAGAAGGTTCAAACTCTAGCTTTAGCAGTGGAGAGACCACATCATTGGACAACCACCATGTCTTCCAGGCAGATCTCAAACTCATGATTTTACAACTAGATTTCACCGAGGACACCCAAGATAACCCCGTTAGAAGAAAAGCTGATTTAGAGCGGAGAATAGGTGAGACTAATCCACATCCCTAAATCTGAGTTAAGAAGTAGTGCCACAAATTTGGGCATGTTGAATCAGACTGCACAACCAGGGGTGATCTGTTTCACTGAGCAGGACATTCTTGAAAAATTAGGTAATGACACCGTAAACATTGAAGACGGTGATGACACAAAGCAGGAGGATCAACATTCAGTTGAAGAGATAAACAATGATCCAGAAGATGCAGACTTCGAAGGGGATTTTCAATTTTTGGCAAACCAGGAAGAGAATCGATTCAAGTTGACCCCAAGATAGATAATGCAGCTGAGGTATAATAGTAGCTGTTCTAAAAAGTAGTGCCTCTGATGACTCTGATGAGTTTAGAGATGGCAGTGGGATGATTACCAATGATCAAAGTGTCGTCCGTAATTCCGTATATAGAAGAATGTAAATTTGGATATCTGCATTACGATAGATTGGAAGAAATGGATTGATGGTGCTAAAATTGAAGCCTTGTTGTTTGAGATAATAGATATATATAGTTAGGATGCTGTTCATCATTGGTGAAGCCCTATGATTGTGTCACGTAGATGGTGTCATCCAGAATTGCATGAAACAACACATTTGAGATATCAAGTCGTAGAACTTCTCACTTATGGCATAAAGCAATGGTTAATTGAATGTGAATAGTGAGAAATTTAGATATTGGACAGAATGTTTTGGTGCAGTCGATGCTTTGCGTTTGGTTAACGCTTTGAGCAACTAATCAAGCTTTATACGGACTATCAAACTGCCAGAGTGATGTTTGGTCTTATATGTCTAAAGACAACCAAGAATTTGTTGATGCAAAGCCCGAAGAACAAGTTGCCCTGTTTTTTGCTGTTGAAAAGCTAGGAATTTCTGAAATAGCTTTCCGTTAGTGAGGGTATTTAGCTACGTGACTACAGCAGGTGGGATAATCTGGGGATGAGATAGATCAAAGATTTGTTTGGGTCCCCAGATGCCTGATTGAAGACGTGTGACAATAGGATGTTGATGAGCCGGGGGAACGGGTAGATGATGTGGTTGTGGGAGTAAATGTGGAAGATTCAGAGATAGATTTTAGTGAAGTGGAGATGCGCGATGAGTCAGAAGAATGATGTGATGTCTAGGATATGTCTTTGTGTGAGTTGACTAACCCTTAATCTGTTAGTGGAGTGTAATCCTTCGGATAGGGTTAGCCACATAGCAGCTGTGGAGTCCAAACTGAGAACATATGGGAGGATGAATGTGAAAATGGAGTAGAGAGCTGCAACTAGATTTTGATCTATAAGCTGTCCAATGTTATGATTGATATTCGATATTGGTTGTCCATTGGAATCAAAGGAGTATTTGGGCGAGGAAACAACATATTCATTCAAAAAGGATTCAAATCCATTAGCTCTGAAAAGCTTGAGTATTTGAAAGCTCCAAATTGAGTAGTTTTCTGGAGATAAGGTGACGAAGCTACAGTTTTAATATTGGCCATCAGGAATTTTAGAGAAGATGGGATAGTAAGTTCTATAGCTTTGGAGAATTGTGAATTTTCAGCTCCACTGGTTGTAGACGAGGAGAGGGAATCATCCATAGCATGATGTGGAAGAACCTGTCTCTAATACCAAGAAGACAATGTGAAATATGATCTTAATCCTATTACAATTCAGTTATTTAAAGGCCTAAAGGTGTTAAATGAGTGGTGAGCATAAATTGCATCAGTTATGAGGGATAGTGGAGATTCAATTTCAGTATGTAGCTGTAATGGCAAAATTTCTGAGGATGGCATTTGCTGTTATATGATGTTACTAAGAACTGATGCGGAAGAAATCTGATATTTACTAGTAACAATATAATCATAACAATAATAATTGGTGATTTTAGATGTCTTAGTTCAGTGCTTCTAATACTTGTGTAAGTTAAGAAAATCATGCAATGTGCACAAAATTTTGCAGATCATTACTCTTAATTTTAACTGTAATTTGTTACTTGTGATAAAAGCTGATATACAAAATAGTTCAATGCAAATGACAGTTTAATTCTTCTACTGGAACAACATAGAGAATATTGAAAATATAAAAATCATGCAGTCTAGTTAAGTAGGCCGCAGTCAACTAAAATAAATTCATCACATGTGCAAACTAATAAAAGCTTTCTCGTTAGTTTTATAAGGTTCTTCATCTTGATCCTTCTCCGAATTTCTATGGCATCATGAAGTTTTCAATGTTGCAGCATCTAACTATATTAGTTTTACCTAAATGCTGCCATCTTCGAGGAACCAACAAAGACGTTGCAAGATCTTCTTCGTTGCACTTTCAAAAAAATAATCTCTTGTATCTACCTCCCATGTTCTGTAATATTTTTCTTTGAAAAAATGAAATTTAGATATAGGAATAATGACTCACATAGGCAAATGCAACAAGTTCAAGAATGCCTATGAATAATGTAAATTTCCTAACTACTCAGATAGAGAAGATGAGAAGAAACTAGGTTTAGAGACACTTAACATAAACTAAATAATAACAAATGAAAGAAAAATCAATGATAAAAGACAAGAAAATGAATTGAAGGGATTTGACCATTTTGGCCTGTCTACCATACAAGGTTAAGGGATTATGCTTTTATTATATCCCAGCACTAAGTACAACTTCTCCGCTCTACCCCTCTCGTTCTCTTACAAAAAGTACTATCAAACTAAAACCATTCATGATGGAATTTGATGTTTGTGTTTCTTTTGTGGAGATTGGGTCTCTCTCCTCAAGAAGATTGAAGTTGGTATTTAAAGGTTTCTCATCTTAGGGGTTGAACCATTTGAATTCTTAATGATTCAAAAAAATAAAGTCAAATTGACTTGTATTGATGCCTGATATCTTTACTGAACTATTTAACACCTAGTTAAGATGATTCATATATCGTCATAACATTTTCATAAGATATAAATGTGAATCAATTTTCATAGTAATTACATATATGCAGATTGTAGAGAACTTCCCGAGAAGATTGATTTGTAATGGCATGCTTTGAGAGGTCCTTGGAGATTTTCTGAACGATGGAAAAATATTTCAACATAATAAATGTATTATAAATAGAAAATTCTGCCAAGAGGCTTATATTTGTGGGAATCGTTTTGATTAGTTGTACTTCACATTCAAACCTCTTGATTATGAGATGTAGATAGTAGGACCGCTTCCGAGAAGCCAAGGAATTATGATGATTACACCACCTTGTTAATACTAAGTTGACTGAGATTGCTTCCGAACACGAAATCTTTAATTTTAACAGGAAAAAAACTTCATGAAAGATTGATAAAATTTGCTATAAACAAAACAACAAGGATGAATATCATGTTATGATTTTGTGTTTAATATTTCATTATAATAATAAGGTTATCGATTTTAATAAGAAATTATTATCATTAATAATATAATTAAGGTAGTAATATAAAATGGAACAGCTAGTTTTAAGTCATAATTTCACTTTTCCTTGTAACATACAGATAATGTTATGAGAAAGATAATGACCTTTAGAGATGAATTACTACTGCCATGAGCTGCAAAATTAGAACTTTACAGCGAAAGCCCCGCTTCAATGGAATATTATTGATAAGGTTATGAAAAACCACCATTCATTTGAAAGCAAGAGAATCATAAGCTAGTAGGAGTCCATGGAAGACCACCATTCATTATGGCGGTGGGTGGAGCCAGAGTTGTAAAACACAGGCATAATTCAGAATTGGTGGTTCAAACATCAGAGAAGCGTGTAGAGTAAGAAATCAATACCTCAGAAAATCTGCCAAAGTATTCTTGAAAAAGTGTTCAAATAGCATCATCAAAAAGTCAACTTCCGGCTGCGAAACATGGACAGACAGATACGAGTCAGCGGACATGGAGAAGGAGCACAAGATAGACAGATACCAAGGATAAAATGCAAACAAAAAAAAAAAAAAAAAGAAAAAAAAAGGAAAAAAAGAAAATGAAACCCAAAAGTGAACCTTGGGCCGTTGCCAGTTCTCCGAGGAAAAGGCGAAGACGGTGAGGACTCGGATTCCCCATTTGCAAGAGAGCTTGGCAATGCCCTGCAGGGATCTGCAGCCCGCCTCATGTCCGGCAGACGCAGGCATTCCCTTAGAGGCGGCCCACCCCCCCCTCCCCCCCCTTATCACAGCCACGTGCTTCGGCAATGCCTCCCGACGAAGTCCCAGTGGAAGCAACAACGTGTCGCCTCTGCCATCTCCTTCTTCTTCTTCCGCACAAGGGATTGCAATGGGGCTGGTTTGTGCCGCCGAAATGACTGTGGTGCTGCTAGTAGTATTTGGTTCCCCAAAAACGGGGGGCATACGAATTGGTGCAGGTCTCATCATGATGGGCTTCGGCGGGTTAGGTACCATAAAAAATTGGGTTCTGAATTGTTGAGCGCCGAGCATGCCTCCTTCCTCTTTCTCCCCCCTTCCCTCAACAAAAATAAATGGTTCAGAGGTTTGGTTCCTGGTGAAGCTAATAATAATAAACAAATGCAGCGTGAAAAAGGTTATCGGCGTCAATCAAGTTGTCACGGATATCCGAATTGAGACATTGAAAAATCTACTCAATTTGTCTGCAAATATTACCCTGCTTTCATAGTCGTTTCTCATCTTAGCTCCATAAATTATTACCATTTTCAATTAGAGCAACATTTGTAGAGTATTTTTTTTTTTTTTTATCTCTAAGACTTTTGTAATATATATTTTTAAGATAAACCTACTACCCATGACTAATTATAAGACATTTTAATTTTTATTATATAACATATCTTATTTATATCTTTCATTCTAAGTTATTTACAAAAATTTCTTGATTTTACGAGATAAAATAATATCATTAGTAGTAAATAAGATAACATCTACATATATAATAATAAATCAATTTGTTAATTGTGGATTCTTAAATCCAAAGAAAATGATAGTATCATTACATTTAAGCTAATATTATTGGAAACTGGCGTACATATAATGACTTTGTAACTCTGGTTCAAATTAAGAAAGTACACTATCATCATAATAGTTTTTAATGAGTTTATTTTTAGAACAAAAGTAAAATTCTTTTTATAATTAACATCATCTTTCTAAGTGAACCACAGCCTTGTTTACACAAAATTCAGTAAAAGTAAAATTCTTTTTATAATATTCACCACCAATATCAAATTTGACAACTTTTATTTTTTTATCTAATTGCCTTTACCATTTTAGTAAAAATCCTTAAATTATTTGCTGATTTAAAATTTTTTATAGTCAGAACAATAACATCATAAATAAAATTAATAAAAAATTTTCTTTGAAAAATAATGGTACAGTAAAGGATCCGTATATATCAATATCTAAAAACTATATGCTGCTCTTGATTGCCTTTTTAATTGTGAATTTTATGCATTTTCAAATTTCACGTAATACAATCCACTCATCTACGAAGGTTAATGAAAGCAAAATAAAAAATATTTTTATTGTTCTTTATCTAGGTGTATGACCCAAATATTTATGCCATAAATAAATTGATCTTTCATTTATCAAACCATTTTTTATTCCATTAACATAATACGAGGTCAACAAATCTTGGGTAAAAAAATTACTAGGCTTTAAATTATATAAATCATCAGAACGGATATCATAATTAATAAATTGATTACATTTAAACAAACTAGATCATCTATTTTTAAAAATAATAAAAAAAAGCCCGGTTGTATCGTATCAAGTTTGGATAAAGAAACTAAAGGCTAAGAAATGAAGGAAATAAATGCGGTTTAAAACAGATTGAAATGATGTCCAATTGTCTAAAATCAAATGATACATTTTTTAACTGAAGCTTTAACTTGATTTTTGATGATGATGAATTTTTTATATTGCCTTACAATTTGGTTCATAAGTAAACTTCATATTACATTTGAAATATGAGAGGCATTTTGCCAAATTTAATTCAAAACATACAAACTTTATTAAACTTCATAATAGATGAAGCACGAAAATGAAGAGTAACAACAATAATATTTAATAAAAGTATAAAACATTCAATACACAAATGTGCTGGATAATAAAATCAAACACTTAATATAAAATTTATATAATATTCATATAACCACCTAAAACTTATATTAAAATTCTTCTTCGGGTGAAACTACAACACAGCAACAAAATTAAATTGATGCTTTATTTAAAATTCACATAATTAGCCATTATACATATTGCAGTTAAATATATTGGTTAGATTTAGATAAAATAAATATATCTAATTAAATATATCAATTAATCACAATCATATTCATGAGTATAAAATTACTTGTTAATCTTTGGGCGAGTAAAATATTTTACAAAAACTTTTTCTTCGAATTACCTATGATAAAGGTTATATATATACAACATTAATGGTCTTAATATTTTCCTTTTTGACCTCTCTCATGGTGATTTTCTTCCAAGAAGTGTTTTTTATAGGACCATGGCAATAGAGAAGTTAAGCGGATGACATTACGGATTATGTTAATATCACAATTATGCATAAGGGCGCATGGATAGGCAATTCGTAATGTAAAATAAAATTTACAATGAAGATTACATGCGAGTTCAATCTCATTTAAGGGAGACAAGAAATAATCTTTAAAGGAAAATCAAGTCTTGTACCAGAATCTGATACCATATGCAACAATTTTTCTCAAATTTTTATGCAAATCCAATTAAATTTAACAAACGCCCCTGATACAATAATCTCCTATAATGTTTTTATTTTACACACACAAATGCACCCATCTGCTTCTACATTTCCGTTACTGTAGAACCTTCTTTTTCTATCTATATATAATTTCCTGTTGTAAAGCTACAACTAAAAAAGGGAAAAGACGACTCTTATTCCTAAATTTTCTCTCTAAGCTGTTCTTCCTGCATCTTTACCTTCCGTGAGCAGCTTCTTCATGGTATCCAGAGCACCTGCGGAAAATACGCGTCCCCTGTTCACCTTATCTTTCTCTCAAATGGATGAAATAATCACATCAGAATCCCCATCTCCTCTTCTTCCTATATCAAACACCAACATTCCTCCTTCCCTAGAATTTTTGCTATCTCACCCAAAACATTTGACCCAAAACCAGCTAACCAGAACTACCATGTTTGATGGTAGCTGCTCTCGTCACCCAAGGTTCACTGATGAAAACCCAGTTGGTACCGAAAACCCCCAATTTCACATGCGGAACCTCATCCATCAAAACCCAACAGCATCTCTATACTCCATGTCCCCAAATGTGCTTCCCCACATCCTACCTCTTCACACCACAGCAGCCATTTCGACCACATTAGATCAACGATTATAGCCCACAAACAGATCTCGCATGATTCAGGTGAAAAACGAACTACACCACATATAAATGAAAGGGAATATCATGACGTAATACTTCACTGAAATTAGACATCTAGTGGATCAAATAACAACAACCTGATCAGAACTTGATCAAGATGTCATCCTATACATTCTTAATTGTCTTCCTCTTTCCTACAATGAATTTAATACTTCTATTCGAACTATGTTTCAGCTCATCGCTCGTAAAAATCTCTACTCATTCCTATGTAGTGAGGAGATGAACATCAACAATGAGTATGCAAAGGCCATCCCCTCCATTGAATCTCAAATGGCCCTCACGGCTACTCGTGGAAGAGGTCACTTCAACAATCGGAGAAGAGGAAGAACTCCATTAGCAAAAACATGAAGGCCATCCTGGAGGATCTAGGCGGTCGCAAATCAACTTGCTTTATCACGATTTCCAAATATGCAACAAAAACGAACACTCGACCTCAATCAGTTGGCACAAAACCAACTTGGAATACGCCTCTACAGCTCCACATCAATCTCTAGTGGCTACCTTGAAGGAATGGGTTCTGGATTCCGGAGCAACGACACATTTCACCTACGACAACAACCAACTCCAACATCCGACTCCTTATCATGGCCCCAATAAGGTACTAATTGGGACCGTGCAAGAGGTTCCAATTCAGCACAAGGGTGATGACATACTTCCTACTCCAAAATGTAAGCTTAAAATCTCTCAAATCCATCACACTCCTTCGCTTTCCCACAATTTAATATCCATTCACAAATTAACCAAAGATGACAACATTGTTGTCTCATTTGATCCTTCCGGCTTTTACATATATGATCCACAGACTCAATAGTTGATCCTCACGGGACCCAATTCTAATGGTCTCTACTCTACTCCTTCATTCCCGCCTCTAGCACAGACACTTGCTACATCACTCTCCCATCATCTTCGCAATATCCAAAAACCAGTCTCTATATATACCATCCACTCCAAGTTTATGCAGTATTTGCAATTTGTCTAAGAGCCACAAACAACCCCTTGTATTTAATATAGGACAAAAAAACAAGCTATTAGAACTCATTCATAGAGATGTATGGAGTCCCTCCCCAATTCCATCTTACCAAGGTTATAAATATTATATTGCGTTTATAGACGACTTCAATAAATTTTGTTGGGTCTTCTTAATTCATGAAAAATCTCAAACCACACAAATTACCAAATATTTTATTCTCCTACTCCAACATCAATTCAACACCAAAATAAAAAATTATTCGCTCTGATGGGGGAGGCGAGTGCAAAAACCATAATCTAAATCAATTCCTCGTTGATCATGGCATCCTTCACCAATATTTATGCCTATACACACCCGAACAAAATGGAGTAGTTGAACAAAAGCATCATCACCTCATTGAGACCACTCGTGCTCTCTTGCATCAAGCCCAAGTTCCCTATACTTTCTAGACCGACATACTCCTAACAACAATCCATCTCATCAATCGAATGCTCACTCGAACTACTTAGTATATCTCTCCATATGAGCATCTCCATCACTCTCAACCAACCTACATACATCTCTGGGTCTTAGGGTGGTCATGAGGAGTAATGATGTGTCATGGTAGTGGAGGAGTGCCGCTATTAGGTTTGAATGATCTCTTTTATATTTTCTATATATATTATGACGAAGCTGCAAATAATTATGTTTTCTATTTTGATTAAACTTATATATAATTATCTGTGTCATTTACGAGGGGCTGATGAGCATAGAAGAATGGTAATATATCTAACTACAATACAAAAAAATGCTATTTTTCAAAACAAAGGCAAACAATTGACTTATTTTTAAAGTGATTGATTAGTTTATACAATGAATGAATCAAGAGAATAATATCGCTGGGACACAAAAATCCCACGAGGAACTTGTGACTGCATAAATATCGTTAAAAGACTAGAATATATGACAGTTTTTATTATTTCCTACCAATAGTGCACGCTAAGGGTAACAAAAGCACTAATTCCTTTGAAATTATACCAGCTGTAACCAACCTGAAGATGATGGCAGTCTGTGCATCTCTTCAACAAACATTTTCCAAAAAGGAATCATGGTTTTCCTCGTTTTAATTAATCACACAATTTCCCTTTTTCTTCTTTTGTCAACTTAAACGTCTTTTGGACTGTAAAAACCAAAATGCAATCCTCATGCTGAATAACCGAGCTTCCAGCAGTATCTGCTCAAACCATATGCTCAAGCGTGACAAAAAGGAGCAGTTCTGTGATAGGATCTTTGCCTCTAACACTGCTTTAGAAGAGACTTCTCCCATGATAAAGTAAGCATCAAGAGATGATCCCTGCAGCTGCAGATAAAATTCGTGCCAAGTTATTATGGATTTGAATGACCAACAATTGCTTAAAGCTATCATGTTATCTTATGATAAATTACTTGCAAAATCCACAATAATTAGATGCTTGATTATTGTCGTTCACAGAACTTCCTCATAAATTATGTGTAAACGTTATAAGGATACAAGTTACCAAGATGCAGCAATAAAGTTTATCAGACACACACACACACGCGCACACACAGACTGACCAAAAACTAGTAGAATTGGGTTGGTTTGGTTAGCATTCAGTGTACATTATGTTCCGCGTTTCAAATTTACTAATTAAACCTTGAAATGAGAAAACCAAATAAAGCTGACTAGATCATTCGTGAATATGCTCAAATGAACATAGACTATTGAATTACTGAGATTCTTCTGTAATATATGTCAGGGAAAGAAACTACATGAACCAAAATTTTATTTCCTCCTTTCTCTATATGAGATCACTAAGGTTGCTCTAAACCAGATTATATAAGTCATCCTTACAAAAGATTAAAACAAAATGCACCTCATGGAAATAACTCCCAGTGAGTTCATTTTTGCCACTTTATGGGAAGAAACAATTAAAATAACCACTATAATCACGTTCTTAAAGGTTAGCAATATAAAGTATTTTATTTATGCATATTTAATTTTTTATCAAGTTAAGAAGTGTGAACATATTTTAAGTTATTGCAAGTCACATGCTTATGGAAAAAAGAGCATTGGACATTACCTGCATCTCATTGTATCAATGTGATGTTAGATGACATTGAGAAAATTAATCAACTATAAAACACTATCAAAGATGCTTTGAAATTATTAATTGATTTTACAAATAATCATGTTTTTGCAAGTTAAATGCTTATGGAGAAAAGAGCAAATTCAGCTTGGACATTATGTGCATCTCATTGTATCAATGTGATGTTAGATGACACTGAGAAAACTAATGAACTATAAAACACTATCAAAGATGCTTTGAAATTATTAATTGATTTTACAAATAATCATGGGCTTCATTCAACGTGAAAAAATATTTAAGTGGTGCAAAATCAGTGATATCCAGTAATGTCACTATTTCTTCTCATACTTGCCAACATACATAAAACAAAAAAAAAAAAAAAAAAAAAAAAAAAAAAAAACAAAAACATATTCGTCTTATTCGTCTCAAAATATTAAAAATAAGTGAATTTAATATTGACTATAAAGAGAAGAAAGCTAAAAAGCTCATTGTCAAAACTACATTTTGAAATGATGTGACGTACACTTCAAAGGTTACAAGCCCATTTGAAGATGTTGAGTTTGGTGGATGGCAATAAGAGATGGTCACTTATAGGTTATATTTATGAAGCAATCAAAAAAGTGAAAGCTGCAAATTAGTAGTACATTAAAGATGATGAAAATAAATATGAGCAAGTCATTTGAATCATTGTAGAGAGATGGAGGTATCAACTCCAAAAATCATAGTATCAAACAAGCTACTATGTTAAACCAAAATTTCTTTACGAGAGCAAGTCTATAATACATCCGATACACCACCGATTAAAGTTCTATTGGTAGTTATTAGTGGGTAAATGGAAGGCCAAATAAGAGGATCAAGAGCTCTCGCTTTATAACCCTGTAAGTTGCCTATTTGCCACAGAGTTATTGAGTTTAACATCCAAAATAAAAATAAAAAATCTCAAAATGTTAAATTTTTTTTATTGATTAAAACTTTTACTGAATGTGATCATATAATTTTGATACAATAATAGTGTCAGAGGTATGGTAAATCAGTCGTAATTTTATAAAAATTAGATATCAAAATTTTATGATTAACTTGCAGTGCTGTTGAGTGTGAAAAGAACTAAAATGTCTTTAGGTAGTTAGATAATTTATTAATTTTAAATATAATAAATAATCACATATTTTATGTATTTCATTGTGATTTTTTTTTATAAATTCATACAACGAAGAGTAATAAGTTGAATCAAAAACATTAAAATGATTTAGCATTCATTAAATATAATCAAACTTACAAAAAATCAATTTAAGAGATGTTAGTGATCCAATTAATTTGAATTGCATTTATGAAAACTGTAGGTGGTTAATGGGGGAATAGAAAATTCCAGTGAGGAAAATTTTAGTGATGAGGAACTAACTTTGTGATAAATTGAGGAGAAATAAAAAAAGGTTTATCGAAAGAGGTCTAAATCTTTCTATAAGATTTAGAAGGTAAAAAATAAATGGAGGTTCCCACAATGAGAGTTATTTTATCTAGTATAACATCCAATTATGTTATTATTCAATAAAGAGAACATGTTGACTCCAAGAAAAGGATATTGAAAATTAAAAAAATATATATTTAAAGAAAGGGATCATATGAATAAAAAAACATAATGTTAACTTTAAATTTCCTTTAAATTGCTTTATGAAACTTAAAATTTTAAACACTTAAAACTAGCTTTCATGATGAATTAAATAAGCTTTTAAGTATTATTGAAGTTTTTAATTTTTACATCAAGTTGCAAAACTAGTTTTAAAATTGATTATAGAAATTATCAGAACATTTAATTTTAAAATTCAATTCAAAGTTTGTCTTCAAATTATGTATATACATCAAATTTTCTAGTGATAAAACATATTTAATTCATTTACTAGTTATTCCATATTTTATGTCATTATATTTGTTAAAAAATTTTAATTCCATTGCTTTAGTAGGACGATATATAAGTCACGAGCACATCAGCTAATAAAAGAGCCGCTCACTTTGTGATTTACATATTGAAGCAGAAGGGAAACCTTGTGAATCAGATTGCATTTTGCACTTTGAAAACACATATAAGAAGATAAGGATAATGACACAAAAACTACTCTCTAAATAGTTTTTGATCTCCATTCATACACCCATATAATGCCTATATCATAGATCAATCACCATGCATTGTACTGATCTTACAAATGGAACATTTAATTTAAAAATTCAATTTAGGTATATAAATCAAAATTTTCTAATGATAAATCATATTTAATTCATTTACTAGTTATTACATATTTTATGTCATTATATTTGTTCAAAAATTTTAATTCCATTGCTTTAATAGCATGATATATAAGTCACGAGCACATCAGCTAATAAAAGAGCCGCTCACTTTGTGATTTACATATTGAAGCAGAAGGGAAACCTTGTAAATCAGATTGCATTTTGCACTTTGAAAACACATATAAGAAGATAAGGATAATGACTGCTAACAATTTGGATTATAAACTACAGATAGATAATCATTGAGGAACACTCTGAATAAACTCAATTACAAAATCATATACTCATAAACTAGCATATCCAATAGCATACGCAAGAATTTGGGGAAGACGTACCAAAGCGTGATTTACAGCTCTCAAACAGTCATTTGTTTTGAGCATTAACAAGATTACACGTGGTAATCTTCTTAAAAGCTCTGAGATCTGAGTAAAATATTGCGAGGCATACATCTGTTGGCAAAGAATAAGTTGCAAAAATTAAAATGAAATCACAAATTATAGGCTACCCGATGTAAAATTCTACAAAACAGTTAAATGAAAAAGCATAATAATGGAAGATAATGATCACAGCCGATTAAAAAGAGAATATATTAAGTATATAATTGACAAATCCCATAGCAAATTAGAACATAGCTTCAATAGGGAATAAACAAACTTAGTTAAAACATCAACAAAATGATTATATGAAAACAAAAGTTCATGAAGGGCCTTCCATTTTGATTAATATGTGCAAGAAATTCACAATTATCACACATGCATTATGCTAGTAAATGTTAAAAACAATGCCATACGGGAAATACAGTTTGAATTTTACAGACTAACCAAAATATAAAATTAGACTGGAATACTTCCTTCATAGAAAAGGCAATATTTTGGCGGGATGCACATAAATATCCCTGAAAGGAAGCAATTTCATTTCAAGCACAGGCTGATATATTGGGTAATTTCAAATGTGGGCTGTCCACACATAATTTACATTAAGCACTACAATTGAACAAGCTGCAAGGTAATAGCACTTGTTTGGAAACAAACTTAACTTTTGTGGCATGACTCACAGACCCCTTAATCCCAAGGTAAAAGTCAGGTAGCCTATGTAATACCCCAAATTTTTATACCCCATTTTTCTGCACTTAAATAAATAAAAAAAAGAAATATAATAATAATAATTGTTATTATTAGTACATTAGCTTACATAAAGTAATTAATTTTAAAATTAATTAAACTAAGTTTTATTTTAATATTAGTGTAGTTGAACTAATGCACTATTCATCCACTTGGAATTTCACTTGAATTCGCATGTAGTGGTTCCTTGGGAAAGCAACGACTATGATTTACCTAAGGAATATTAAGTACACACAAACATTACTTGTAAATAAATTAAAACCAAAGCTATGGGCTAAAAAATTATCGTATTCCCTAATCCATATCCATGAAGAGATCTAGAACCATGAACCGGGTACCATATCCATACAGAAATCGAGAACAATGAACTGAGTTAGGAACCGAAGGGAGAATAGAAGAATAAGAAAAAAACTACGTTTTAAGGTACAATTTCGTTTTTTATAAATCCTCATATGCCATTTTTTCAACTCAAGCTTCGAAGGCTTTGACGCCTTCCTGAGGGAAGATTGTTTTGAGGCAAAAGTTTAATTTGAGGATAATATTATTAAAAATTTGAGTTGGGAAGTTAGAAAATTTATACAGAGAAAGTCATATTTTATAGGTTGTGTACAAGAGAATAAGATCACGAGCTAATAGTAGCAAGGAATGTTTTCCTGTTTTCAATCACCAGTTGGGTAAGATAAACATTTAATTTGGAAAAGAAAATATATTTTATTTATTTCTACATAAATTTTATAAGTTTAAATCATAGGCTATGCATCAAGTTACTTTTCAAATTGCAAAGTGCCAAATTATATTCTAGCAATTATAATTAAATATGTATCATTTTAAATTACAAAAAGCTTAAATTGGAAGTGTTGAATCCTTCTAAGACATCGGGTCTCGTATTATTCATGGGCTCATTCAGCATAGGGGAGACCTAGGAAGGAAGAGGTGGAAGAGAACGAATGCATGCAACCCAAAAGTTCTAACTTCTGCCCTTAAAAATGGATTTCAGAAGAAAGTCCTCTAAATGAGATGGCTTCTCCCCCTACATCGCGTTACAAATATAGAAAATTAAATAACTTTAGTACCGTATGAAGTTTGCCGAGTGCCAATGAAAGACAGTGATAATCTGGATGTTAGATGACTCATAAATAGACATGGACAAGTCTTCTTATTAAACGACGACAGACACCTCGATGGTTGGTCGTTTATGAGAGATACTCGCTAGACGAGCTTAGCATATCAGCTCAGGTCAGCCTGTCACTGAAATGTGATAGCTACGCCTTAAAAAAAAAGTAATGGGCTGGCTAGGCCTCGAAAGACCCATTAATATCAATGTCAGCCCATGAAAATCGTTTATTGGTGTACAAATAATTCCTTGATTCTCTTATCTCTTTGAGACAATCTACAAAAAGAATAAGAGAATGAAGATTCTGGTATCTAATAGTATTTTTGTATTGACATGATTAGCTTTATGTATGCAAGACACGATACATGATGCATGCTATCTTGCGAGGGGTTCTTTGACCTCCTTGGAAGGAAACCCGCAAGTCGTTTCCAAGACAGATAACAATCAAGGATTGAATTAACTTTGATGGCCGGAAAGTTTGTGCTTGCTATGCTTACAACTTAACAGAGTTGAGAGATGCAAAATCACTTCTATTGAGTTCAAACTGTCCTTCGCCCGGGGCTGTAGCTCAATTACAGGAAGTAGCCCCTTGAGCTTACTATTGTGTTCAAACTATCCTTTACTTAATGGTCGTAGCTCTCATACAGGGACTAGTTGCTTGAACTTCTGAGTAAACATAAACCTTTCCTCACCTGAGGGCTTTAGCTCGCCTATAGGGAGAAGTCACTTTATGAGATATTGTGGTCTTCAATCCTTGAGTGGATAAACTTATCATCTTGTATGTTTGAGATATTTATAGCAAGGATACTTGTTCCAGGTTTTCATTTGATTTGGAATTTTGTAAAAAAACAAAATAGAAGAATTTTGTTTTAAATTTATGAAGATTAATTTGAAATTTATTATATTATTTTATTTTGTTTGAAGAACTTCGTTTGATTTTAGGTGTTACTAGAAAGTTATTTTTTTTAAAATTTTTTAGTTCATAAGAACATATTTATAAATTTAGTGTTTTAATTTTTGAATCAATTCATTTTTATTTTATTTTTAATGTGAATGTTTATTTACTACATTATATTTTATATTATTGAATGGTTTGAGTTAATTATTTAAAGTTTCAAATGCTTGTGATTTATCTAATTGAGTTTTTCTTTATTTATTTAATGAATTTTGTTATAGAGTTTAAGAGTTATTAAAATTATCTATGTCAAATGAATGTGGTAGTCACCTGTAATATGGTCTCAGCCTAAACATATATCCTACGTCTTCTACCTTAGAATTTCTCTTTTCAAATATAAAAAATGCAATAAATAATAGAGTAGTATTATCATATATTTAAACACAGCACATATAATCAAATGTGGTAAATAAGCAAGGAATAGAACATACCAAGCTGTTTCAATTAGCTTTTCCAATGAATAAAAATATATGAGTTCATAACAATTAATGTATGTATGTAAACTTTGAAATATGATTGAAAGAATAAACATTATTATGTAAGATTGCTAGAAGAAACTAAGAAATATTCTTCGGTTGCACGCTTAAACTGAAGAGGATACTTGAGTAAGAGTGGCCACGAAGTGTGCCATCCAAGAGAAGGGCAGCAAGCTTCTTAAGCAACTTTACACATAAAGCAATCATATAAGGATTTACCTACAATCCACTCAACTCTCATATATTCACATATTTAATATCCATATTTTGTTTCTCATTTTATTTCAAAATTATGTCATCCAAATCTTTTCATGGCATATCAAAAGTATCATCTGAAATATAATTTTTTCAGAAATAAAACTTTTTCAGAAATATGTATTTTTCAGGTATATGCAAAAATAATGAGTATATCAAGTTTTCAGGGATTAAATATGTAAAGTTATAGGAATTGAGTGCTATGCACGTAAATCTTACCATAAGGTTCTTTGATCAAAATCATGTTTTCATTATTAGCAAGGTTTCATGGGTCCTAAGTATACATTAAAAGTTGAAGAGCTTATGCTTCAACATACACAAGCTTATGCAAAACAATATGGCAGCTTCACATCATAATAATGTAGAAGACTATAAAAATTTTAAATAAACTATATGAAGTAGCTAAAAGAGCAACGTAGTTGCCGGACAGTATAACTCAAATCTATTGCCGAACAGTATAACTCCAAAGTTTCCAAATCATCATAAATCAAAATATAACAATTTTGAATTTTTCAAAACGGACTTTGCAAAGTTTTCAAATTTCATAAACCAATACTGCACCGATTTCACATTTAAAAAAAAAAAAATTCCAAGTTTCCAAACCTTCGCAAATCAATAGCCACAAAAATTTCAAAATTTCCAAGATGATAAGTTTCCTAGTTTTTGGATTTTACAAAACCAAGCCACAACAATTTCGGAATTTCCAAAATACAGCTTATAAAGTTTCTGAATCGCATAAAGCAATGCCATAAACTCTCCAGTTTTGCAAATAAAAGCCATCACACATTTCATATTTCCAAAAGAAACAAAGTTTTTGAGATTTTCCAAACTTCATAAGCCGAAGCATGTATGTTTTTAGGGCTACATTGTGTCTAACACGGGTGCACAAATGGACCCAACAAAAAACAAGGTAATCATAAGCTGGACCACGCCACAATCCTTCATTGAGCTTAGAAAATTTTTGGGGCTAGCCTCTTTCTGCCGAAGATTTGTTTACAACGTTAGCCCTATCACTGCCCCCCTCACAAAGCTATTGAAACAAAAAGAATAAGCATGGACGGTCACAACCCAGACTAGCTTCAACATATTACACGAAAATATCACTCAAGCTTCTTGCCTAACCAGGTTTCAACAAACCAATCAAGTTTGAGTTTGACGCTTCTGGGGTAGGCATTGACGTTGTACTAAGTCAAGATGGTCACCCCATAGCCTATTTCAACAAAAAACTAAATTAGATTCAACGAAAATATTCCACCTACGACAAAGAATTTTATGTCATTATTAGAGTTCTAGAACACTGGAGTCATTACCTACTCACAACCGAGTTCATCCACTTACTTCACAGAACATGAAACTCTAAAATTTCTAAACAGTCAAAATAAACTCAAAGGGCACCACACTACCTGGGTAGAATTCTTAGCGTCCTTCTAGCTCCTACTCAAACACAAAGTTGAAAATCAACACCGAGTTGCGGACGCTCTGACCCGTCATCACCTCTTGATCAAATCCTTACAGACACACGTGGTAA